CCCCAGCAGGGGCATCCCCTCTCCCCACAGGGGAACCTGCCAGGCTGCTCCTACCTCTTGTAGACGCCCGGTGGCACCATGGTGGCCAGGAATTGCTCTGCAGCCACCACAAACTCTTTGGGGTCCAGGTGCTGCTGGTAACCTGTGGGGCAGCAGCCATGGTCCAGTACCCAGGCTGGAGGGAAAGGGGGCTGAGCTCCCTCTCCCACCCCATCCTCCATCTGCCCTGGTCCCTCCACCCCTGATCCCCACACACCCTGAAGCTCCATCACCCGCCGTGCCCCTCACCTTTGTACTCTGGGACAGGTCTCCCCAGCAGGGTGGGCAGCCACTCGTACAGCACTATGCTCTAGGGCACAGGGGAGTAAGGTCAGGGACAGAGCTGGGGAGGGAGTTGGGGGTCCCGGCAGAGCCAGGGGATCCCATTCCTCACCTGGAAGGTGGCAATGACCCGCTTGCGCGCATGCTGGAAGAGGTCCTCATCAGACCAGGTGGGGTGTACCCGGGCCAGCGCTGCAGCCAGGTGGTTATGGTACCGAAACCAAGCGATGCTCTCAGCCTGCAGGAAGCGATTCTCGTTCCCCCAGGCACTCCCCAGGTCTGCAAGAGCCACCGGGACCATCAGTGGGGGATGCCACCACTGGGTCTAGCTTTGCCAGTGGCTGAAGGAGCACCCTGAGCCCTGTGGCTGCAACCCAGCATCCTCTCGCCCTTCCTTCCTCCCCAGGGAGACAAGCAGCCCAAGGGAGCGAGAAGCAGCACCATAGAATTATAGAATCATAGAATCATTAAGGTTGGAAAGACCTCAAGGATCATCAAGTCCAACCCAACACCACCTAACTCACTAAACCATGTCCCTAAGACCCACCTCTACACGTTTCTTGAACACCTCCAGGGATACCAGGCCTCCAGCATGGACTAAAGGCTGGGCAGATGAGGAATTCAAAGCAAGCTGAGCAGGTTTTTATCAGTGGCAGGCCCCGTTCCCCGAGGAGAAAGCCTCGGCTCAGAGGTAGCACCTGCCAGTCTCTGCGTGTTGGCTGGGAAATGACCCACTGCCCCCCAGGGATGTAGCACCTTAAGTTCGCAGCCTGTCTTTGCTGGGAAGCCTTCACTGGGGCACGCATCTTCCTCCCCCTCGGGCTGGGAAGCTGCTTGCTCTCCCACAGGACTCCTGACCTACATGTCCTGGCTCACCGCACCCCCCTGCCCTTTCCTGGTGTCCTCTCTGGGCTCAGCTCCAAGGACCTCCTGCTCCCCCTGCTCATGGTCAGGGATACAGCCAAGAAGGTGAAAACCCATTGAGGATGCCACCATTACCATAGATGCCGCGGGTACCACCCTGTTCCGTGGATGGATCCAGTGCCTTCCACATGGGGACCCTCCCGTCCGTCTCCTTCGGAAGGCGCCCGCTGGGCCCCGGTGCCAGCTGTCCCCCCGAGAAGCTCCTCAGGGCATCGCTCCAGGAGTGCGAGGGGCCGTAGATGGAGCTGCCGTCCAGCCAGCCCGTCACCTCGTTGGTCTAGGGCAGGCACAGGGCATGGGCATTAACAGGCACTGGGGTCTTATGGAAAGGTGCAAAATGTCCAAAAAGCCCCCAACTCGACTTTTTTGTTCTTGCAAGGCAGCCACCCTGTTTTAACAAGAGCTATCAGGATGCAAATATAAACACTGACAACCTCTATGCAAACTGCAGAAATGAGTGCCAGGTACAAGAAAAGACCAGGTACAGATTTTCACAAGTATATTTTAGGATTTTTTTCCCATTTATTTTCAGCTGTGCCCAGAAGCAGACATTCATGAATCCCTACATAAGGCAATACCAAGCTGGAAGGGGACTAAACCCGTCTGTGGGGAAACTGGAAACACTGGAGCTTTCCCCTCTTGGGAGCCCCATCCTCCAGCAGGGAGTCCCACTGCCCTGGCAGCATGGTGAATATCTCTCCTGCCAATTGTTTTCATGAAGCATCATTTTCAGTTTGAAAACATACTGGAGTTTTCATTTTTCTAAGGTTTGAACTACTACTAAAAACGTGACTTGCTAATCTCATCTCATTATGGTTTGTCATGTGAAAGGTTCAGGGGGTACTTTGCTTTGGTGATTTTGATTGGGAAGCTTTCCAGCATGTAAGCAAAAGCACATGGGCTTGGGAACACATCCAGTCTTGGCACAGCAAAATACGGAGAAACTGGGGGGAAACCTGGATTTTTTCCAAAATGACTGAAATTCAGATAAGCTTTACAAGTTTACAACTTCATGACAGTACCGGCTCAGTTTTGTTATCTGTGATTAAAGATAAGAGTTGGTGCCTAAAAAAATGTGTCATAATTACTGACCTTCTAGAGTGGCACAAGTCTATAAATTGATTATGGAAGTTCATCACACTTGTACTAAAAAGGCTCCAGTTATCACTTGTTTCACCGCATACAGACAGATCTATCTTCGCTCATTTTGACTGAAGCGATGAAAATTTGGGCAGCCAAGGAAAGCTGCAAGTTATTCCTGCTTTACCCTTTCTTCTTCTGCCCTCCATAAACCATGCATGATACTCACATTTGCACTGAAATAGATGACACAGTCAGACCTAGAGTAACTAAGTTTTCTGGGGCACTGACCTTGGGCAACCACAAATGTGGTGAACCAGCACCTTGGAGGTTGTGCTTTGGGTTTATTTGCAGTTGATTAGAATCACAGAATGGCCATGGGCAGGGACCCCTCCCACTAGACCAGGTTGCTCAAAGCCTCATCCAGCCTGGCCTTGAACCCCTCCAGGGATGGGGCATCCACAGCTTCTCTGGGCAACCTGGGCCACTGCCTCACCCCCTGCACAGGAAAACATTTCTTCCTATTGTGTAATCTAAATCTCCCCTCTTTCAGCTTGGTTCAAACACTTGAGAGATGTATATTTTTAAGGAAATGACAGTGCTCTCCTTTTTTTTTTCCAAACACTTACCTTGGCTGCTACAGATCCCGATGTTGGGTGAAGAGGAATTTAGGCAAAAGGCAAAGAGTAGAGGAAACACAATCTCTTACCTGCTCACGGGGGCTGTTGGGGCTCTGCCCTGTCTCCGATGCCCAATGGATGCGCTGGAAGGGCAGGACCACATCTCCAGTGCCTGCAGGGTCAAACACAAGGTCTCCAGGCGAGATGTGAATGTTCAGGAACTCAGCAGGACAGCCGGGTTTCTCTGTCCCTAGGATGTCCGAGAGCACATGGAAACCTGCCAGAGACCCAAACATGGTCAGCAGCTTGGAGGACAGCCACCACCCCCGGAACAGGACATGATGGTGGGCAGCTGAGCCATACATGGGCTGAGGGGACCATGCTGTGTGGCAAGAGTGGTTTCCTTCCCGCCTTCACTGCTGGTTTGCTCCACGACTTTGAAAAAGTCACTTTGTGCTGGAGTCCAGACATGCTGAGCTCTAGTCCACAGAAGCAAGGTTCTAGATGCCCCTGGGCAGACCTCATAAGCAGAGTAGGGTCATTCAAGGACCAGGGTGGAGAAACTCAGCCAACGGATGTTCAGAGACCACCAGTAGCTGCACCATTTTCTGGCCACCACTTCACCAGGAACAAGGCTCTGCATTTAGCCATTATTTCCCTGAGTTCCTCCTTACCTGTGGCCTTCAAGGCCAAGAGCTGCAGCTGATGATGAGACCGGTGGCTGCTGCTGCTGTTGGGCCACTTGAGCTTTGGTGTGATGGGAAAAACTGACTCCAGGAAGAAGCTAAATGGCACTGCACTAGCGTCTGTCCTTTCTGTGCCCCATCTTGGGGCCAAGCACCTCAGCTTGGGTGTCTGGCGATGTGTATGAACCTTAAGCTGTAAGAGGAGCTAATTGTCTCCACTTATTTGACAAGTTCAGCCTGTTTTCTCAATGAGCTGAGGGTATTTCCCAGAGATAGACGTCCTCAGATTTGCAGACCCAAGATCCCACCGAGCTCCCAAGCAACAGCAAAAACTGCTCTGACTTGCAGCATTTCTGCTCAGCAATCACTCACGGCATGGCTCTTACTGCATCTGTCAGGTGTTTTACAATGAGGTAATTCTAGCGCTAAAACAAATGAGGAAGTTCCCAAATGACAAATATCAGCATTTAGGGCAACTGCTAAAGGTCAACGAAAATTCATGCAAACTCTCTTGGCTGGACACTACTTTGGTATGGCAATAGCCAAGGCTTTATCTTTTGGGTGTGGGTTTGCTCTGAAGTGGTGGGTGAGGAGTGCTCCAATGCATTGCCTTGGGGTGTGAGAACCCAACATTTCTCCACCCACTCCCAGTTCCCAGCTCTTACCGAAGAAGACGGCCAGCACGGTTGTGTTCCTGCGGGAGGGCAGCCCGGAGGGTCCCCGTGCCACTGCGTTGCTGAGCTGGCGCGCGTTGGGCACGTGGGGCTCCTGCAGTGCCTGGTAGACTCCATCCGCGTAGTTGGCCGGCAGGAGACGCAGCAGCCTGGCACCTGCAGCACCAAAGCAACACGGTGTGGGTCCCATGGCACCCGACAGATGGGAGATGCTGTGATAGCGGGGTACACAGGTGTGTGCCAGGGTCCCAGAAGAGAGCAAGAGGATGGCATAGACACTTAGAGTGGCCAAGAACATGTGAGTTTTGGTACCAACACGCAAAACTTGCAGCACTGGGGTCAGTCCTCTTAAAACTAGGAGGGATCCTCCATGGGCATGTTCCCTTCCAGTTGTCCTTCTCTGGTTTATGTGCATCCCTGTTGCCTCCTGGAGGTCTGTAGAGAAACACCCACTGCCCGTCCTGTAACTGAAAAGCTGGGAGGTGGGAGTTCATTTGTCAGTGATGAGCAAGTTCATTTTGAAAGGCTCTTCACTAGTGTGGTGGGCTTCATTTGCTGGAGCTCCCCAGAGCTGGGGGAAATCCTGAATTACTGGCTTAGTTTTGGGCTTAGTCTCCGGCTTAGTTTCCATAGGTTTGTTTCCAAATGTTAAGGTCTGATCTGTCTGCTCTGGAAGAGGGAGATCTTGTCTGCCAGGGGTCCACTGGATTTCCCTGACAGGCTTTGGTGTAACCAAATCGCTGATGATGCACGTGCCATGTTGGAGAGCCATTCGGACTCTGAGGAAGCTCTGTAATTGCCACCACACCTTGTAGTCACCGTGTAGGTGACTGGTCTGGGCTGCAGGAAACAGGAGGATTCATAATCTTTAATATTTTAGGAAAGATCGTGCCTGATCTGTCCTGGCCCCTGGCTCGGGGCCATCTCCTGAGGTGGGCCCATGGCTGGTTGTAGGCATGAGAAAGCGGCTCACCACTGGCAACAGGGAAATCCCACATGCCTGTGCCAGTACAGGCCAGTACATGCCACACAGCAGCCCAACAACGCAATATCTGCCCTGTGCAGAGCGGAAAAAGAGTAGGTCCAGCATGCCTGGGCCATGAGCGTTTCTGTCTCTGGCCTTGTGTTGAGTGCTGCTTGAACTGCATGCTGATTTTGGACAAAGATGCCTTTTCCCAGCTCTGGGATCCCAGACCATCACTGAAATGCCTGCTGGCAAGAGCTGGGTCCTCCCTACCTTGGGTATTTTGAATGGCCCTGCAAAGGCACAGCTCTGCTCTGGGACTGATCCAACACCAGCACGACCTGCGGATGGTGCCTGGGCAGCAGGGAAAAGCATCAAGGCCAGGACATGGGAGATAAAGCTGACCTGCTTGGCCCCTCCAGACTGCTCTAATGGGGCTCTTACGTGCATCTAGGGACCTACCCTGAGTGCAAACAGCCACCTCTCAGGGCCATGGGAGGTGGCATTGCCTGGTCACCTGCCTGGTTCAGGCTCAAGTCAGAAAGGGCTTCTCTCTCAGTCACAAAGCAAGCCAGATGCCCAAGTGCCAGCTCACCCTGTCCCACCATCCCTATCGCCAAGGCTGGCACTCACCTGCCGAGCCACGGCTGTGGTGCAGGAGGTTGTTGTACCAGCCGTCATAGCGCTGGACCTCCCAGGAGATGCTCTCCTGGGCTCCTGGAAGAGACCAGACCAACTTGGTGAGCAGCAAAAGAAATGCATGAAACAAGCATCTCCATTATAGAATTGTATTTATGTTGTGATATTTTCCCATATTTCTGAAACTTTCTGTACAAACAGTTTTTTAGACTCGTATTGCACTCCTTTTGAGGGATAAGCAATATCTAAAATAAGACATTCATGCTTGTGATCCTGATGTCCTCAAATCAATTTGTCCCCCACCAGTCTAGTCCAAAAGGATTGTCGTTTTCTCCTTCTCTCTCATTGTATCAGAACAATCCTGATATTCCTGACCCCCTCAATGTCCATGTGAGTCAAGCAAAGGTCTTGACACTGGAGTTCTGCTCTCCTCCATGCATTGTATATCAGCATCAGCCTTTGTCAATAAATATATATTTTATTTCCTTTGTCTTAATTTTTATTACTTTTATTATAACACTAGCAAGAAGTTCCTGGTTACAAGCTGGGTACACATACAAACAGCAGTAGGTGAGTCTCCCAACCTGCAGGCTCTGCAAGTTTAGCACTTTGCTCCACTTTTTTCCTGTCTCATCACAAGCAGAATTGTCCCCATCTCTGACATGATGCCCCATGAGTTAGAGGAAATTCCTCTGAGGAGCAGAAACTATCCAAGATTCCCCCCCCCTTGGATTTCCTGCAACCGTACTTACCCCCCAAGGTCCATGTCACCAGCAGAACCACAGTCAAGCTCAACATCATCTCGGCAGGTTGCATCGGTCACTGGATCTTTGGAAGCAGTGACCTGCACACGGAGAGGAGAAGGAGGGAGCTGGAGCTGGGCTGCTCCCCAAGGCTGAGAACATAAAATCATAGAATCATAGAATCACTGAATGGTTTGGGTTGGAAAGGACCTTAAAGCCCATCAATTCCCAACCCCCCTGCCATGGGCAGGGACACCTCCCACCAGCCCAGGTTGCTCAAAGCCTCATCCAGCCTGGCCTTGAACCCCTCCAGGGATGGGGCATCCACAGCTTCTCTGGGCAACCTGGGCCACTGCCTCATCACCCACACAGGAAAAAAAATTCTTCTTCACATCTCATCTCAATCTCCCCTCTTTCAGCTTAAACCCATTCCCTCTCATCCTGTCACTCCACTCCCTGATCAAGACCCTCCCCATCTCTCCTGTAGCCCCCTTTCAGCACTGGAAGGTGCTGGAAGGTCTCCCTGGAGCCGTCTCTTCTCCAGGCTGAACAACGCCAACTCTCTCAGCTTGTCCTCGTACAGGAGGTGCTCCAGCCCTCTGATCATCTCTGTGTCCTCCTCTGGCCCCGATCCAGCAGCTCCGTGTCTGTCCTGTGCTGAGGACCCCAGAGCTGGGTGCAGCACTGCAGGGGGGTCTCACCAGAGTGGAGCAGAGGGGAAGAATCACCTCTCTCGACACGCACAGACCATAACCTCAGCTCCCTCTTGTGGTTTCTGCTTCCTGGGAAAACCCTGCTGCTGTCATCATCCATCAGCAGTATCTCTCAATTCGGGCTGTGGGAAGGTGGTGGGGGGCATGTGAGATCCCATCACCCTGGGAGGTGCCAGCTGGCCTGAGAAGACCTTTCTGCTGGAGCAGGAGCAGTGTCCCTGTCTCGGGTACCCTAGCAGTAGGGTCAGAACTCATCATCCACAGCAGGAAGATGTTAAGCCGTGCCAGCTCTGTTGTAGAAACACGCTCTTTGTTACAGAAAGACACGTTTCAGCTGGCAATTTCTCTGCACAAGTATTGTCCCACCCAAGCGAAATCCAGTTGTGAACATGACGGGAACGGCCTCAGCGTGCAGTCAAGTGCCCTAAAGTATGCTAATGCTGCAGATCAACACCTCTTGATCACCTCTGGGCTAACTCATGGCATTCTCCCGTGACCAGCCTTTCTCATGACTCTTCACCATCTCACTTTCCACAAAGGCCCTGGATCCAGAGGAATTTTTATCAGTGGGACCTGAATTTAAAACCCTGGGCAACACCTGACTGAAGAGAGGGATTCGCAGCCATGAACAGTGAAGGCCACATTTTTTGGTCATAAATTATAGCAATGCTGCCACTGGCTTTCCATTTTGCCAAATTTGGGTTTAACTCCAAGGACAGGGTTTGCCACTACATATGGCTCTTTGTCCCTTGTTCCAGCACTGTGGATGTGTATCCAAAGTCCAGCATCATTTCAGAGGAGCTGTGTTGCCAAGAGATGCGGCGTTGCACAGGTATCAGCTTTTCTTACATTGCTCTGTTGCAAGCCAATGCTTTTTTAGTTTCTTTTTTTCATTGTTTTAAACAAAATTTAAAGAAGTTATGCTTTCAGAAAGGCTTACACATTGCCAGCAGCTCTGCAGGTTTTATTTCTGATTTACTGGGAACTGCAGCGGGGATTTTTCACTCGTAACTATCGGTGGCACAAATTCTAAAATGTGAGTCACTAACTATAGTATCCACTTGACAAATGGTTTGAGATTTAAATATTGTTGTTTGCGCCCATATTGATTGTGTTCATAAAACGGAACACTCATTGCCAGGTTGTGAGCATAGCATATAACCTGTGTTAACTCCGGTTGCCAGAGATTTCAGTGCTTCTCACCTTTTGCGTTAGAAAACAAGCTGTTTCTCAAGAAGTGACATTTCCACGTTCCTTGTCTGCCACAACAGCTCACCTGCACTCTACACCTCACAAAGCAAGCCGCTTTGTTAGCTTTCCATAACATGTATTTAACTTTAAATCACTGTTGAAATACCTCTGCACTGACTGAATTTTCAAATCTAGCCTCACCTCCAGGCACATGGAAGCTGGGGCTGCTGAAAATCTCATCGCTCCTGAGAGCAGCATCGGGTGATGTCCCTGGTCACCCAGTGCCACTTCTGTCCTCCTGGAGCATGCCCCTGTCCAAGGACCCCCAGAGCTCTTCCATCCCACACCTCTCTGCTGAGCGTGGACATGAGCATTGGGTTGTGCAGCTGGTGGGAACCAGAGGCCCTGTGAGCCCCACACTATATGAAGAACACAAAAGTTTGGCCAAACATGGAGATGCCTAGGACCTCTGCCAGGAGCAGCAGAGCCCAGTCACCATCACCACATGGGACTGTCCTGCCAGAAAGCTCTCTCCATTTGAAACTGCCTGTTCCCTGCTAGAACCAACGGGAAGGGCTGCATGGCTTGAGACATCCTGAGCAACCCTGTGCTTGTGCACAGAGGTCCACGAGACCTCCTGCACTGTAGGAAGGGAGTCCCTATAGACCTAGCTGGATTTATCTCCTGCTGACTCAAAATGGAGTAGCAAACCCCATCTAGCCCTGAGGTCTGAAGGTACTACAGAAGATTTACCAAATTCACTCAAGAAAGGTGGGGCAAAGCCATGGCACAAAGCACATCACCAGTCACAGCGTAGCACCTGCCCCCTTGGGTCTTCTTGCAGAGGTCCAACAGAAAATGTGTTTTAAAATTCCTTCTGTCACTGAACAACCTCATCTCTCCTGAGAGATGGGAATTGCTCTTGACCCAAGTCATGAGATGGCATTACAGTTCTCATGAACTTTTAATCTCTCCATGGCCCAGTACTGAAAACCCACTTATTGCCTGGTCAGTCTCTGGGGGGCATCTCTGAAGGTTTTGCAGCCTCACCCATGGCCAACATGAGACAGTGACAGTGGTGGTCTTGCTCCAAGCAGTAGTTGGACTACAGACTCCTAAGAGCCTTTTCCACCAACATGAAACTTCTGTTCCATGCTTCTACACAGCCTTTATATCTTTCCATGAGTTATGTGTCTCCCAACTGAACTACTATAGGTATCCTCCTTCCCTAGGAGCAGCTGTCCATGGCAGAACCCGGTCTGACACCATGTCTCCCCTGCTTATCAAACTTTCTCCAGCTATTGCTGGGAACCTTCTCATGGGCAAGGCTGAGTAACAGCAGTCCTTACAAGATGCGCTCGATGAAGAGGAACATGCAGATCTGGGCTAGGGACCTCATGCCCAAGGAAGATGGGCATCTCATGCGTGGTAGTCAGCCATCCCACAAGCTCTTTTTCCATGCTTCAGTTGAGAGCTCCAGCCGCACTCCTCCCAGTGTGCACTCCCATGTGCTGAGGACCAGTTGCCAGGCTTCTCCAGAAAGAGCCCCCTGCCCTCACACCTGCCTCTCAAATCTTGCAAAGCACTTAGGAGTCTCCTTGGCATAGTGAAACCAGATCAGCCTTGGAAGCCCACAGTGCAGCTTGCTGAAGGAAAGTTTTGTAAGCCTGGATTAGCTCCACAGACTTGTCAAGCATCAGGAAGCTTGTAAAGTCTGATGAGCCCTCCAGGCTCTGCTGTTCCACAGATTTCCTGTGACACCTTTGAAAGATCACTCCCTCCCTCCAAATCTAATGAAATCAAGCACCCATTTTCCCAGCCTTGTCTTCTCCCATCAGAGAGGATCCCTGTGCCCTACCCAAGGCTTGGAGTTTCATACCCCTCCAAAAACTACACTGCACAGAATGCAAACACATAGCTTCCCCCAGAGCAAGGATCTCCTGCTCCACCTGATCTCAGCAGGTTTGGTTCCTCCAAAGTTAGGGCTGCAGCCTCCAAATGTCTCCGGAGCTCTCTCCAGAGCCATGTATTATCTGGGACTGAGGGACACATCAGCATCCTGAGACCAGCAGCCCCCCTGTAGAGTTAAGTGTGACCATACAAGTAGAGGAGCGCAGTTTCAAGGCATCTGAGAAGCCTGCAGCCTGATCTCCATGGTCCTTGTTAGGCACAGATTATCTCTCCCCAGTCCTGGTGGGACAGACTGGGGGACTGCCACCTTCCTGGGTTTGGGAACAGACTGAATCTCTCCAGCCTTGGATGTCATCCAGAGAATCCCAAACCTGTGCGCACACTGTAGACAGAATGCACATGGGGACCAACTGTGTCTCCAGCTCTCCCACCTGAGGGGACACCCCTGGGGCCAAAAAAGCCCCAGTCCCACCACAGTTCACAGCAGGGACTGATGGGACAGAAGGGGTCCCTGCCTGTCCCCACAATGCCCTGTGCCCATGCAGGCAGGGACATGGGTGGCCCCAACCTCCTAGTCCCCTCCACCGGTGACAACGCGCGTAGCCCGAACACCCCCGCCCCGCAGGCAGCAGCGTGCATGGCCCTGGCTCTCAG